ACATACAACTGGGAGATATGGTATGGCTAATACCACGCAATATCCATACGACATAACCATCAAAGAAATTGGACTACAAGAAAATCGGACCATTCAGGATATTGGAAAGAGTGGGCAGCCGAGCTTATAAACTCGACCTTCCCCCCTCGATGCGAATACACAATACATTCCACATCTCACTCCTCAAATTACACAACAACAACAAGTTTCCCTCACAAACACTTATTCCTCCCCCTCCGATCGAACTAGACAGAGAACCAGAATAAGAGCTCAACGAAATACTCGATTCCCGCTTCTTCCACGGTCATCTCCAATACCGAGCCAAGTGGACAGGATATTCACCCGAATACGATAAAACTTGGTACTTCACTCACAACTTTGAACACACACAAGATGCTATCTCAACCTTCCACCAGTGATACCCAGGCAAGCCCGGCCCAGGTGACGATCACATTCAACCAAGACAAAGGCGAGGGAAAGGCTCCCGCGCCATTGGCACCACATGAGGGCTGGGGCAATAGCCTCTGCCAAACCATACCCACCAGCCCCGAATACTCATTCGTGGGGCCGACTGACAAAGAACTCAAGGAAAGGGAAAAGCAGGCACAGCATAACGCCATGTCGTGGACGGTATGCTATGATGACAGTTGCCAAACACATTTTGGTGACAAAGAAGGCTCGGGATGGTTCCCGAGGGAATGTCGAAAGTGTGGCCCACTCCCGGACCACGTACTGAAGTATTGGCAACAATGCTTCTGAAATGGGTGCAGGATGCACTGGGCACAAAAAATATCTGCGGGATTCTATCCGCAGAAGGATGGAAGCAGGAAAGAGTTAGAAGGAGAAGACGCCAGAAAGGCATGGGCTGCAAGGACACGGTTCAGGGAGGGAGGGGCCCAAAACTCCTGAGCAGACACGGAACCGGACGTCAGGAGCCTACACAGGCAGATACAGGAACTCCAAGAACAACTTAGCCAAGCCGAGGCCACAATTTCAGCAAACGACAAAACGATCACGGAGCTAAGACAGCTGAACGATAATTAGCGGCACACAATCGAGATGGCGAATCTGACCTTAGAATAGGTAAGGGTCAGATAGAGGACGGCAGATGAAAAGTTCCACAAGCTGAGAAGGACCATGCGCTCGGCAGGATGGGAACTACTGAAACAGGGAGAGAAAGCCTGATGGGACTCAGGCTTAGGAGGAGGGGAGCTAATGTCACGAACATGGCTTGGCATGGAAAAGGTTTTCACGTGACACATGGTTATGAGTCACAGGTATGTTATTGTTTTGCGCATATGACTCATTTGAGTCATATGATTTGTTATGTGTGGGATTTGTGATGCTTTCGCACACAGCTCAAGTATGAGTCATGGGATGTGCGCCTGGCAAGTATGCCTTGCGAGTGTGCCTTGCGGGTAAGCCTTGCGCATATGATTTATGTTTCGCACAAGACCTCGTTATAAGATCATGGGTTTCGCGCATATGACTCTGTCGAGTCATATAACTTGTTTGTTGCATTATGATTGGTTTATGAGTTTGTAAACATGACCTCGCTATGAGGTCATGAGTTTTGAGTATGTGATCACTTTGGTCACATGACTAGTTTGTTATGATTTGGTTTCGCACATGTGACCACTTTAGGTCACATGACTACAGGCGGGAAGAATACTATATAAGGAGGCCGATGCGGCCGAGGATGATAGGTTCTTCACACTTTGTTCTAAGTACTTTTCCTACTTATTACTTTAATGAATATCAAACACCTTTACGATCTTTATCTTTATTGCAATATTATTATTACACCGAGGAGGGCTCTTTATGAAGGAGAGTTAGAGAAAGCTTACGATAGGCGTTTCCAATTGAAGACAAAGGTCTTGTACTATCGGTAACGTAGGCAGAGGCCTAGCGCTATCGTAAGACGAAGGAAGAAGAAGTAAGAGAAGAGAAGTATCGTTCCCTGTCGCCAAGAACTAACCATCCGAGGAGGGATCGTTATAATAACGACGAAAGCTCAGCGGGTAATCCCCTCCTGAAAATCCACGCTTCCAATATTGACTCCTATTGGATAACCAAACCACTCCCATCATAATTGTGATACCAAGGAACTTCTGTAACTCGATTGCTGTAGTGGGGTGTGACCATCCTGCACCTCGTTTACCTTGCCACTTGAGGTTCGCATATGCATTTGTAGCATCGGCAATTTGAGAGAGAATATGATCGGTCCAAAATAGAGAAAAAAAGGAAACTGGAGTTAGAATAGCATCCTCTGGAACCAGGGATCTCGGCTCATGTTCTATGAATGGTAATGGATTGAAGGCTTGAGGCGGTGTAATAAACACACAAGTTCCCATGCCACTTGACTCGGCTGCCGGTCGCTCGTGGTCGAGTTTATTTCGTTTAGCTGCTCCTTGTTGCCCAGAGCTCTTCCGAGTATGCTTGACTGACATCGTGATTTATTAGAATTATTTGAACTTGGGAGTGTAGCGATCTATGGTATTTGATGTTCAACGTCATATGTTTACTAGCTATATTAGGTTTGGTTCCGGACACTAATGCATGAGAGAATTTTTACAAGGCTGTTACGACCATCCAGGGGATAATCCATCCAACGTTTAATGATGCAACACCGCTATCCTTAAGCCCCAGGCGATCCTCTTGTCGGTAAACTATGATAAGCACCCGCTCCCACGGTAATATCACGTGAAATATCATATCTATTTAGCACAGCGGTGGAGATGCCAAGAACCTGTTAACCCCTGCGTAATCATTAAGAGCTCGGAAGCCCAATTCCCACCCACAATGGGTTGTTACTGAACAATCCATTCTGTGGCGCCGGGGAAACAGCAGCCCCTTTCCTATGGGGACTGGGAGATTAAAAGCCTCAGCCTTCCTCAGCAGGGTAATAATAGGGCAAAATCGGCCCTGCGCGAGGTTGTAGAATCCGACTCTAGACTATAAACCTAGGGGTGAGATCTCAGATCCGCGATTGACGGGGTATGATACAGAAAAAAGGGGGTGTTTTCTCTAATACGAAATGTGTGAATCAGTCCTTTTACCAAAAACAACCCTATCACACCACTAATGGCCTTTAAATTGATTATATTCTCTCCCAAAAAAAAGAAACGAATAGCTACCATTAATAAAAGATATAAGGATCCAATCAATACTCTAATACCCACAACTAAGCCCAAGTTTCTGCCAGAAGTTTCCTGGAAACTTCACGAGGAGCAGTACCGCAGAGTTGGAGCCACGCGTGGCTTGGAGGAGGGGAATGGTTAGGACACAACCCTTTCCGACCGTTAGACTACCTTTTAGACCCCTTTCACACGGTATCTTGCAATTCGTAAAAATTCCCGGTATGATAATAATATTATGGTAATTTTACTCTGGGCACTAACCAAAACCCAACTACTATAGTACCCGTATATCATAGCCCACCAAAACGTCCATCACAATAAATCACTCGTGTCACTGGTCCCGGCCAAGCCGGGCACACTCCCTCAATCGAGGTTGTGGTAAACAAAAAATAACTTGATATCATACTATATCTGCATCACCCCCCCCCGTTACACACCTGCTGGTTACAGTGCATGTATGGCGGTCTCGGGTTGCCCAACTAGAAGACCCCAAAATACCCCCCGCCGTAAAAACCCGGAAAACAGAAACCAAATCGTATTTTCAGTGCTGACTTTGGCAATCTTGATCACCCCTCTGACCACTAGGGGATCTTGGTGTTGGCAAACAGCAACCGGCATTTAAAAATTGCTTTCTTGAAATTATATCCCCCCCGATTCAGCCTTCCATCTCGGAGCATATCTGATACTCGAGCACTATTGAAGGTAAATGACTAGGAGGGAACATGGGCTAAGATCCCATATCCACGCGCTTTGGTCTCTCTTCGGGATTACGGTATCATACGGGTAGGCTATGGTGCAGAAACCAACCAATAAGAGAAAATCCCTGGCTGAGCGTAGTGCCCGGCGTCGTCTCGAGGATGGCTCGGGCACATTCTCTCCTACGCTGATCGCCAATATAGTTGTTCCCTTCAGTGGATTTCCCAGTGCAACACAAATTCCGCACAAAGATCGGTGATATTTCCAATGTATCGTGTTTTGTATGCTTTATCTCTTCGACGATATCTCTCCGAACAGCCATTCTTTCCCCCCCGAAACGGGGAAATACGGAAAACCCAATGCCCCGGCTAGAGTGGGAGACTATGGTAGAACGTTGTGTGTGTGTGTGGCGGTGTGTGAGCGGGTGGTGCTCTGGATGGGGATTGCTATAAAACCGATATCATACCGAGGACTAAATAAAGGGATCGCAAAACGGAAAACTTTACTCCCCTTCTGCGTTCTTAGCAATATGACATGAGATCCTGTTTGCCGGATGGGATAACTCGGACAACACTTACTCCCTCCGGGAAAGTATGATGCCAACTACCGTACACTTACTCGAGTACGCTCAGGGCGCAGGCTTCCAGTGGCCCCTCCCCTTCCACCAGTGCGCACTATATCATACCCCTATAGACAAACCTGGGTAGTGGTCTCTTCGTACTTAGTACTTCCAGTACGGTCTAGTTCGCATCTAGGAAAATCAGCGGGGGTATGATACATTTATTTAACGCGAATGAACTACTCAAAAGTTTATGGCAAATCCCCTACCAACCCTCCCTCTTTTGCGCATCAATAAGCTCTCCTTTTGCCCACACCCAGCAGATGTCCGTGCGCTCTACAAAGACTGCATCTCGGGGTACACTTCTCACGATATCTCTCCGAGTGATTAAGCATGGATTGATGGAAGACAGGAAAAACGGTTTATAAACCCATAATTTAATGATATCATATTCCACCTTTATCACGCTCGCTTACATCGAGCGCCCCACTCAGCCATAGACAAAAAAAAGAGCTGCGAACAAAACATGTTGCTAACTTTGCTAACACTTACGCCCTTAGAGGGCCTAAAGACAGAGTGGAAATTGAGCAGACAGCGAAACAGCATTGAAAACTAGATATAGGAATGGCGAGAAATTGCACTGTCTAATTGTACTCACTCCCACCACCACCCCTCAGCCCAATTACTGGTACTACTAGCAGGATGAAAGACAACTCGGCCAGGATCAGACAGTGGAAGATCGTTTCCCCCCCCCGTGAGTCACAGCTCAACATCATGATCATCCATTTCACTTGGCTTTATTAACCCACCAACCTTTGCTGCTTTCTCTCTTTCGGCCTTCCTAGCTTCCTCAGCTGCGATTTCCCGGTCTTCAGCGAAGAGGTAGGTATTATCACTCGTAGAAAACTCCTTCAGCTGAATCAAGAAATCACGAAGATTAAGTTTGAACTTAGGGAGGTCATTGTTCAAAGCGAACAAGCCATCCACAAATGTCTTGATTTGGACCCTAAATTTTTTTGCTGTGTCAGAAAATTATCAGAGTTGAAGATAAATGCTATAGGACTTACGGCTGAAGATGAGAAAAGGCCGTGCGAAGAAGTCCAGCAACATATTCTCTAAGGAATTCCGAGTTCGACGTGCCAGCCGGGGCTTGGCCAGGTGTGTAAAGAGGGGCGTGAACTTTGCCGGAGTCCACAAAGTAGAACATCCTAGACAAAAGCAACGCCTGAAGCTTGAATCCTAATGGAGAATTAGTTTCTACTTCCAATCCAAAAATAGTGGCGAACGGTATGCAAACCGGCTTTATGGTCAGTATCTGTGAGAACAAAGAAAATGTCTTGTAGTATGGGAATGAAGAACTGCTGGAAAAATGCGCTGGAGGTCTCTGGATTTGTATCGGCGATGTTGTTGATCAATTCGATGCACATATTTAAGCCGGCAGCCTCGACCTCGCGGTTATCGTGCTTACTAGCCCAAAGACACGCGTCAATGACAAACTTGAATTGGCGATTATCAAGTTTGAGCAAGGCTACAAGTTCAATTAGCTAAGGTATCTCAGCGATAATTCATCCAGTATAAACTCACCATTAAAGCAGTTCAGATTGATTGCGCGAAGCAATTTAAAAAACTCCACTCTATGCTCCGGATATTCCGAAAAGTCCTTGTTGATCATTCCCAAGGTACATTCGAAAACATTCTCCATGATGATTGGGATTTTGTCCTCCATTAGGCCATGTAGCTTGCTAATGATCGTCGACATAACATTCAAAACTTCGGCATCACGGGCATCTGGAACGTTGCGATTATAGTCAACAAGTACAGCATCCAAGAGAGGTGGAACCATGTTGTTGTTCACCGCTTCCAAATTATCTGCCTTCTGGACATAGGTATCGATAAGTTTTAGAATCTCTTTCTTCACCGTACGCAAGCCACGAATACGAGGCATCTTTGGCGCCACAGGGCCTGAATTCGGTCAGCTAAGTTTCAAGGAACGGATTCAAACACCCACCCTCTCGTGCTACCCCCTCAGAGACCATCCCGCTAACAAATCGATACATCGACAGCATATCCATAAAAATGCGGGCAATTTGAGGATAGAAGTAACTTCCAATTGAGGTGCAAGCCGATACATTGGTCTTCATGATGTTACCAATAACCTTGACTGTCTCATTGTTATCCAGGATACTGAGATTCGAGGTGGCTTCTTGAATAATAGCATCCCACTAGATAATTACTTAGTTAAGCGTTTAAACCGGGGGTTGGAGATGTTGGAACTTACAGCCTGGTTGGGAAGTGCCATCAAATCTTGAATCAAGCGCTCTTGTATTCCCGTCTGGCCTTGCGCACTAATCATGTAGCCACACGCCTCATAGAAGGTATGAACCTGCTGCGGTGAGAGGTCTCGAGTAATTGCCTGCATTGTCCGTACTATTTCATCGATAAATGGCTCCGACTCTCCTGGCTGCAAGGCAACAAAGTGGCGCCTGCATTTTTGAGCAATTTTGATAAAGGTATCACATGCCATGTCCTGGACACCTAAACAGGGTTAGAAAGATCAAACCAAGCGGGGGCAAGAGCTCACCTTCGTGCGTCTCATGCATAAACTCAAAAAGTTTATTGACAACAGTTTTTAGGAATTTCCAATGAGCCTTCAAGAATCGAGGGTATTGGCCCACGATGTACATAATATTGGAAGCAACAACGGCCTTGTTATCCTTCCCTCTCTTCATTTCAGTGAGACCAAGCAAATCCTTAATCACTGTAACCAGAAACCTCTTCTCCGTTTCTTCGTTCATCGCGCCAGATATCGACCCGATAGCCCAACATAGGGTATTGCAATTAGCCCATGACCATTCAGAGCCATCAACCTGCTTAGCAAGTTTCTCCGACATGATGTTTTCTGTGTCGACAACATCCAAATGCGTAAGGTAGACCAGGCACTCCCTGGTAGCTTTGTAGAGCTGTATAGTGTCACTCTCCTTGACAAATTCACGAACGATCTCCCCCTCATCATTCTCCACGATTAGAACCTGTAAAAGAATGAGCGCAATCCAGGGAGATCTATTTCATCACAGAGTGCATATATCAAATTACCTCTTCAGGCCTAACCATCCTCTCGATCATGACCTGTCTTAAGTTTGACAAAACTTCGGCATATATATGCTTCCTTAGTGGAAAATTAGCATGATGATTAGGGTGAACAGCACCCCCTCCACTAGCAAGCCCGGTAACCCCGATCTGGGCCATGCTAATAAGAGGAGTGATGTCGGTAATCGGCAGCGACTGCATCTCTTCATAGAGCTCTTGCACAAGTTTATTCCAGTATTCAAGGCAGATTTTGAAGATCTCGCGGTCCTCAATTTGTGATATCCGGATAAGATAAAAATGCGAATGGGTAAGATAATCTTTATTCGATAGATTCTCAATAAGCTAAAAGGCCAGAGGCGTGTGAGCCATATTCCACGCCATAATCTGCAGACCGATGATATAAATACCTTGAGGTGGGGAGTGAAAAAATTGCAGATGAAAAGGGCCAAATTTTGGATGAATTCCTGATCTCTTGTATTGCTGGATGGGTAAACAAAACGGAGATCGGTTGATAAAGGAACAATCTTAGAAACCGTTGTCATGACGTTCGTGAACATCTCAACCAGTTTTTCGTCATACTGAAATTGATTAACCTGAAGACCACCGATCTCAGTTAAACACTTCATTGTCACATTGCGGAAGTCAGGCTGTTCCAAGAAGCGAGTGCGTAGAGTCTCGATAATAGGCGTCTCGAAGATATAGCCTAGAGGAATCCAGTTAAGAAAACGAAGCAGAGTTTCCAAGGTCGCTTTCACGAGGCTTGGTTGTTCCGCCATCTGTAAAACCTCCGAACAGAGCTGGAAAATTGAGGAGAACTCCTGGCACATAGTTGTTTTAAGATTCTTAGTCTTAGATTGAGTCATTTGCTCTGCCGAAAAATCGAACACCTCTTCTGAAAGAAGTCTCAGAATAGCCATATTATTTTCGCAGATAGAGAGGTTGCTCCGACACGAGCTAATAATCTCATTAATAAAATCGGGCCAGTCATGAGGCCAATCCTGCTTCAGTATTGACACCAGAACCAGATTCAATTTGTTGATCAATATTCTCTTCTGGTGTAGATTCTCGGGAGTGGACGACTCTTGGATGATAAACCCGACGACAAAATTCCGGATACCTAAGGCTTGCTATGAGTCTTGATTTTGGGAGGACAAATCCTTTGTTCAGGTGGTCCATACCCTGTCTCTGCTCTTTTGGCAACACTTTCCATCGCGTCTGGATGACCTGGTCTAGTACCCGTAGCCCAAGGACTAAAAAGGTTAGCCAAACTAGCAATCAAGCATAATCTCAGGATCAAAAATACATTTTGTCTCAGGGTAATTTGCCGATTCCAACATCTTATCCACCATAGTCCATGAGTCTGGACTCTCGCTGAACTAGAAACCGTATTCAGTATTTGAGAAGCTACTGGTAAACGCCTACTAGTTTCCAGAGACACGTACCTGATTGAGAACAAGTTGTGCATTTTTTCTCTAATGAAAAGGTCAGCGAGACAGCATATTAAAAGTAGTGGGAACTAAGAGCTAACATCTGCGCCTGTTCCTTCATAAAACATGCGAACATGTAGATCCAGCTCATCTATTGTCAAAGCGGCCATTGTAAAGTGCTGGACGGTGGTGCAAAGCTTCCCCAGGTAAGCTCTCGAGAAGTGGCGGTGTTCTGAAGTATATCAGACGTAGCAGTGGTCAAGTAAGGATTTGATGGTTTGCAGGCTACGGTTGTAGATGGCGGGGTAGAATGTCAACGACCACAGGTCAAACGTACGCGAAGGGCATTTTGAGAATTGAGTGGCAACCATAGCAACCGAAGGCCGGGTAACTTATGGAACCAACCTGCTAGTGGAGATTATTCTACGATATTATGATAATATTATTATTATCATATTATTTAATTATTTTCTTATAATTCTTGTTTCCATAGAAAGATATTTCCTACAATAACCATAGAACCTTATCTTTACATCCATTAAGGACAGTTATAGCTGAAAAAAATAAAAAAGTTTAGTTTCCAGATATCGAACAAATAGTTTGATAGTATTTTGAAACACTAAATAGAAAAACAAAAGGATACTAAGAGAGGTATTTGGCTAGAAGAGTGGATATCTTAATACCTTTCAACTTTTTGAAAGACATATCATACCGCCAGTGTAATGAATCAGAAACCAAGAGTACGCCTAGTAGGATCTGGTATCCGAACACCTGATAGTGGTTAAACTAAAAAAGCAAGTAAAAAAGTAACTGTAACAACAGTTTACTAACTCTTACAATTCTTTTAAATATTTAAGAAAAGACTTTCTGGTATAATTAAAACACTTTTAGCTAATTAATACCTTCAGACTTAGTAAATCCACTACTTTATTGATATTGCATGTTTTTTATTATTTTAAAAGTATTAATCCTATCAGAAATATTGAATTATCCTAATAGATAATAAAATTCTATTGTTGTAACTATCAAATATTTCATCTATGATATCAAGAAAATTAATATAATTATTATTATTACTCTAAATTGTATTAAGTTCAATTTAAATGGTAAAGAACTACTTGAGTATAATACTAATCATCATATAATAATATTATATTATACTAAAACATATCAGTACTATTAAGAGGAGTAGAAAAATAATTAGTATTAATATGAATATTGATTTTTAAAAAGATACAATGTTATCTTAAAATATACTATAATATTATAAGCTATAATACTTCCAATCTTCATCTAAGAATAGTGATACTAATTATTAATATAAGTATTATAATAGCTAATATTTGGGAAACAACTGTAATATTAGTATATTATAAAAGAAATGTAGACAACTAAAGAAAGAACCTAAGTTTATTTAAATAAATATATCATATATTAGAAAAATAATATTTTCTTTTAATAATATTATTATTATTACTATAGTGGCATGTTAAACAAATAAGACCTATGATACTTACTACTTGTAGTAAGATAAGAGAATTGGTTAAATTTATAATACCATGATATGTAATAGGAAACTAAGGAATAACTTATATTAAATAATTAATATTAGAACTTAATACTAAGACCAGAAGATCAGACTTCACATAGGACTGTTGCTCGGGCTATGTTGAAAGTTTCTTGAAAAACCTAAAATTTAATTATAATATTATGATACTAGTAGAGGACGGGTAGCATCTATCTAAATCAGAGTTATGTGGAGAATCACGGTTGCTCACTCGTGTTAGGCAGTTAAGCAAGAGCTTGGACTCGCTTCGATAGTCTCCTAGGGCTCACCCTTTGGGCGGTGCCTTCGGTCCGGTAATTTGTTCCTTCGGTCTTACTCGAGCACATTATCTATCAAATCCGGATATCTTGTTACTTGTCTTGTTTTTCGTTCACTGATTTGCCTGACATCGTTGCACTCTTGAAAGGACTGGTTGGGGTTATGGTTGAGTGCGTTTTTACTGTGATTTCTATATGGATTAGTATTCTACAAGTGCTCCTGTGCTCGCACATCTCAGCGTTGGTGTCTATATTTATGATATACGGGCGGTAAATACGTGCAGCGAAACTGATAGTATGATTGATACTTTAGTGTATCGCACAATTCTGAAAGTGGAGGTATTGAAGATACCGGCGCCGTGATACTCCCTCTATAGGAGCCAGGGCTTTAGCAGCCAACGAAGTGCAAATAAAATGGGTGTGAATTATATAGAGATTTTGGGCGTACCGTTTCCCATGAGGCGATGCGAAAGCTTGATTGACACGTCTAGCCAACCGATCAATCAGTAACCCTTTACCTATCCTTAATGAAATTCAAAACATATTACAGCCGAAAAGTTTTTTGTACGGAAACAAACACCGGGGCTAAACCCATAGAAAATAAACTTCACAGAACATCCCTCTTTCTTGCAGTCCTATTTGGTAAGAAGTAATCAGGTTAGTGACAGATCTGGATATCGGAGGGGTGATGCGATATACCTCGTGTAATTTGACAGTCTCCATTCGTAATCAGCGTCTTTGTTGTCAACTGTGCCTAAGCGCAGTTCGAAGAGCTAAAGATGTCGTCAGCACCTACCACCGTGCCGTAAACCGAGGACACGACATAAACAACGAACCTTCATTTCCAGTCTGGGTCCTACCTCCGCTAATTCAACCGAACTATACCCCGTCTTGACATAGACATGATGACGAACGGATATGTAATCCCCCTCAGTAAGAGCGAAGGTAACGACCCTACTCCCCTCCTTCGCCCTCCCCGCTTCCCTTGGCGGGAAAAGATGCTTCAGTATTGTAACGACCCTCTTCCCCAGCGGCGTGGAGAATCCCTCGAAAATCAAATGCGGGTAACTCTCGCTGACAGTCCCCCTGCTAGAATTAGGAATGTCGTGACGCAAGACAACATTGTGCAGCGAGAACAGCGCGGTAGGGCCGTGCGGGAAGTGGGATATCGTGAAAGAAGTGGGTGTACCTCTGTGTTCGTGTAGGAGGATCATGTCGGAAGTACTGGTTGATAAACAGGAAGCGCAGAGGGTAGGTAGAACGGCATTACCACGGTTTAATCGAATGCTGTTGGGCAGGAGGAGGCGGATTTCTTTGGAGAACTGGAGGAGGCGAGAAGAGGGGTCGCGGGAGGTGGTGATCAGGATCTTGGGGTCCACGATGCCCGAGAGTGTTGCATATTCGTCGTCGACTTGGGCTGCCTCGTCGCCATCTCTTTCCCGGGACTCATCGTATTTAAAGTCCCTTCGGAGTTGGACGTCGTCTACTATTTCTTTCGGGAGTGGCTAGAGGGTTTCTTTGTAGTTAGAAAGTTTGCCTTTGTAAAACGAGGTTTATTGGAATATTGGAAAAAAACCTTTCCACTGGCAAGAGCAGCCTTTAACTTTGATCTTTTCTCGGCGACTTGAGCATTTTGGAGTTCAAGCTGCTTGCGATAAATAAAATCGCGCCTGTGATATATCAAAAACGAACTTAGTGGACGGGGGAGTCCGAAAGGACTATGGGGGAGAAATTAAGCGTTGAACGAACCTCTCCCGGGCGTTTCTTCTAATCTGGAGATGATTCTAATTAGGAAATGTTATCATTATAAAGAATCCAGAGGAATTAGAATTTACCATGATTGAAGGTGGTGATCTCCCTTAGTTGGTGTATGAAATTGAAATTGAGGTAAAGCTGGAGGGGATTTCGGTTCATAAAATTTCCTGTGGCACGGAGCCGGGTAACCATACTCTCCTGTGGTCCTAGGAGTTGAGGCCACCAAGAAGACAACAATGGTTGCCTTCGTCAAGCAGTCTGTCGCAAGTTCCTACCAGCACAACAATTTTATCTTCAGCTCCACCCACCACCTTCCTCTATAAAGAACAGAACACCCGGAAAATCCGATAACTAACGCTCCACACACACCTTACAACTCCCTGCCGGAACTCAAGCCATTCGTTAAGACTCTCTTGCTCCCAACTACGCTCTCGCCAAACGTGGGGCAAAATCTGGACTCTAGGCAGCCCCACTTTAATTTGAGCAATCTTGCCAATATTTTGATATGGACGGTGTCTACACACATTTAGGTATCACACCGTCCCTCCTTACTCAAAGGGCTTTGGCGCATGTGTAATAGAGCAAAGGATAACTTATTGAACTTTATTGTAGGAAATCATTTCGATGATACCGCATCAACAATTGACACTGCCTCCGTCTATGATCTTAAGGCCCGACGCCACGATGATGATGAGGAAACCGTCGATGAGACGTTGAGCCTAGCCAGTGTTCCCGTCGGCCGTTCTGCTATTGGCGATAGAAATTACGGAGAAGAAACGGACGGGCTTGGAATTAATGATTCAAGAGATGCTGAGACTGAGCTGCCCGCACATGCTTGCGCGTTTGTCTCCCCCGTTTGTCGTTCATATCTCAATGCATACTGATATGGTTTATAGATACTGTGGGATCCATTCCCCTTCCTGCGTGGTAAAATGTCTAGCTTGCAACAAATGGTTCTGCAGTGCTAGGGGCAACACCTCGTCGTCCCATATTATCAATCACCTTGTTCGTGCTCGCCATAAGGTAAAATCACTACTCTGCTCACACTTGTTCTCTTATATGCTCATGTTTTCCTTAAGGAAGTATCACTTCACCCCCAATCGTCTCTTGGCGACACAACTCTGGAATGTTACAACTGTGGGACTAAAAATGTTTTCCTGCTCGGATTCATACCTGCAAAGTCGGACACCGTCGTTGTTCTCCTATGCCGGCAGCCATGTGCGGCTATGTCATCTAATAAAGATATGAACTGGGACACTTCTCGTTGGCAACCCTTGATCGAGGACCGCTCGTTCCTCCCGTGGCTCGTTTCGACTCCCACTGATGCTGAACAATTGCGGGCCCGTCATCTTTCTCCCCAAATGATTGGCAAATTGGAGGAGCTTTGGAAAGATAACGCTAGTGCTACAGTTGCTGATTTGGAGAAAGGTGCTGGTGTTGATGACGAACCTGCACCGGTCTTGCTCCGTTACGATGATGCATACCAGTATCAGAATGTTTTCGGCCCTCTCGTCAAGATTGAGGCGGACTACGATCGTAAACTGAAGGAATCTCAGAGCCAGGATAACTTGATTGTGCGCTGGGACCTGGGTTTGAACAACAAGCATTTGGCATCCTTTGTTCTTCCCAAACTTGAACTTGGCGATGTTAAGCTTGCTGTCGGAGACGAGATGCGTCTGCGTTACATAGGCGAGCTCAGGCCTCACTGGGAGGGTGTCGGCTATGTTATCAAGATTCCGAATAACCAGAGCGACGAGGTCACCCTCGAACTTCGGCGCAACGGAGGGGATAAATCTGTGCCCACGGAGTGTACTCATGCATTCTGTGCAGATTATGTTTGGAAAGCTACGAGCTTTGACAGGATGCAGTTGGCAATGAAGAGCTTCGCAGTGGACGAGATGAGTGTTAGTGGGTATATTTACCATCGTCTACTCGGTCACGCTGTTGCGGCTGCTCCTCTTAAAACAAGTATGCCGAGACGGTTTTCCGTACCAGGTCTTCCCGAATTGAACGTGAGCCAGGTCCATGCTGTCAAGAGTGTTTTGTCTAAGCCACTTTCCCTTATTCAAGGACCTCCGGGAACGGGAAAAACAGTCACCTCGGCAACAATCGTATACCATCTTGCCAAGACAAACGTCGGTCAAGTCCTTGTCTGTGCGCCCTCGAACGTCGCTGTGGATCAATTGACTGAGAAGATACATCGCACCGGATTAAAGGTTGTTCGTCTTACGGCAAAGTCCCGTGAAGATGTTGATTCACCTGTTTCCTTCCTTTCTCTGCATGAGCAGGTCCGCCTGAACGATACTAATGTAGAACTCGTCAAGCTTGGGCAACTTAAGAACGAGTTAGGCGAACTTTCTTCACAAGATGAAAAGAAGTTCAAACATCTTACCCGCAATGCCGAGCGAGAGATATTAACAAATGCCGATGTGATCTGTTGTACCTGTGTTGGCGCCGGCGATCCCAGACTTGCGAAGCTGAAGTTCCGAACTGTTCTTATCGATGAGAGTACCCAGGCCGCTGAACCAGAATGCATGATCCCGTTGGTTCTCGGATGTAAGCAGGTTGTTCTAGTCGGTGACCATCAGCAGCTCGGTCCGGTTATTATGAACAAGAAAGCAGCCCGTGCTGGTCTACATCAGTCTCTCTTTGAACGCCTCGTCATCTTGGGATGCGCTCCTATCAGATTGAATGTCCAATATCGGATGCACCCCTGTCTTTCCGAATTTCCCAGCAACATGTTTTACGAAGGGAGTTTGCAAAACGGTGTTACCACCCAGGAGAGATTGAGGAGAAATGTTGATTTTCCGTGGCCAGTAGCAGACACGCCAATGATGTTTTGGAGCAACCTGGGTAACGAAGAAATTTCCGCCAGCGGAACCAGTTATCTCAATCGCACCGAGGCGTCCGCTTGTGAGAAGATTATCACTCGCTTTTTCAAGGCCGGTGTATTACCATCCCAGATTGGTATCATCACACCTTACGAAGGCCAGCGTTCATACATTGTCTCTTCCATGCAAACCAACGGGGCTTTACGTAAAGAACTTTACAAAGAAATCGAAGTTGCCTCCGTCGATGCATTCCAGGGCAGAGAAAAGGATTACATTGTTCTCTCCTGTGTTAGATCTAACGACCACCAGGGGATTGGGTTTTTGAACGACCCTAGGCGCCTTAACGTGGCTTTGACGAGAGCTAAATTTGGGGTAGTCATCCTTGGAAATCCGAAAGTTTTGTCGAAGCATCCCTTGTGGCATTATCTTTTGCTCCACTATAAAGATAAAAATTGTTTGGTTGAAGGGCCATTGAGCAATCTCCAGGTTTCCCTGATTCAATTTTCGAAACCGAGACAAAGCTACCGTAGCCCCCAACGTTACCAGATGGCATACCAAGCCGCTCCCAACGGAGGCGTCCTTACTGGCTCAAGGCTTCCGGGCGGTATTGGTCCCGCCGCTACAAATGCACCAAACCCCATCAAGCCTCCAGCCAGGCAGCCCGAGTACAACGACTCCGGAAGTGTGATAGGCTACATACCCGATGATGTTAGCTCGGTCCATTCCGTTGCAGTTACTAGCGCTTTTCCACCAATGTTTAGAGGGTTTGCCATGGATAATTGGCCCGCTCTTCCCCGCGGCACAGCACCATCTACAATTGCGCCCAGCGAGGCAGATGTGTCATCAATTGCGGGTGCCAGTTCTGTCACTGGCGGTGGGGGCGTTCCGCTAGGTTCCTCCGCGAATTCGGTTGCCGGCGGTAACGCAATTGGGGGAAAGTCAACAAGCCTGAGTCAGAGCGATAGATTGAAGAGATATGTTGAGAGTGGCAGGGCGGGGTCTGGAATGAGCATGGGGATGGATCTGAGCGGGGGATATAAAACTGGGGTGGAAGGAAGTGTTTATGGAGGCAGCAGTGTTGGGGGAGTCGGTGTTGGGCTAGGGAGGCGTGGGGATCTAGACGACGATGTCAGAAGCGTCTCTACCGCCTTTGCAAGCCAGGTTGGGATGACCAGCTACGATTGAGATCCTCAAGCGCTCCCACAAAAGATGTGGGTTGTCGAAGGAAAAACTCCGAGAATAGTGGAACCGTCGCATTATGGAAGAATTGCCCGTTGGGTTCTTTCGAGTCTAAAAGGTCTACCGAAGACTACTGTCACCTGTCAAAATCCCTACCTACCTCAACCTCGTTCCTCCTCTCCCTTCCCTAGTCTTTGCATGAAATGGCTAGGGGTGGTACCACAGCCATCTGTAATGCAGTGGCTACTGGATCTATCATCATCCTGGGAAGCTTTCATCCTTTATTTGGATGTGCGAGTGATTCCCGGGAAAAGTTGTGTTTGGGTTAGATGGAATTGTGGGAATCTGTTTAGGCTTTTCGCTGGGATACTGTTGTTGATAGATCGAATTCAATATTTAGTTGACGCATTCGTAATGATCTTTACTTTTTGTTATAATTTGGAGGGTACTTTGTTGTGGGCGCTGTTTTCTCCCCAGGGTATTTTCAGTATTATGGTAGGTAGCCATGATTTCTCCCGTGATGAGGGACACATCCTAACTAAGTGCTAAGAGGCTGTTTTTTCTTTCATTCCATTAGCATTCTACAGGTAGTCTAGACTATTCTCTTATTGTTTATACTGTACTTTTATAGTGACACATAGAATCGAGGTTACAAGACAGTCCACTTATGTTCACAAATTGATGTTGAAAAGGAAATCAAATTTCCGTAAATACCCTAGCTCAAACCAGCTAAGTCATGTATGACATATGTATGCTGGTAGGGCACATCTTCCATCATCGAAGTAGAGTAGGTCCGGACAAATAAACCACCTAGCGGGCTCGGAAGACAACGTGTTTTCCCTTCTCTCTCTCTCCCTCCTTCTCTCCCTCTTTCCTCGCAGCGCCAAAGCCCACGGGCCCATTTGACGACCATAGAGATCAATGATCTACTTATTCCTTAGCATTTCACATTTTACTCGTTATTCGGAACTATTTGGTGGCCCCGTTGCAGTGGTAGTTTAAGTGGAGGTGGAGTAGATTGTATCATATAAGTGGAGTATGATATTAAAGGTTTACAAGGTTTAGAGTGGACTGTGGACTTTGCGATTTGGGAAGCATGAAACTCTAGCACCCAACCCAAGGCCTCGGGAATCTTCCAATCACGTGCCAGCCCAACACATAACCCGGGTAACCCCATCCCACGCGTCGCCCATCCAGGAACCAAGCTCACGCGAACATTTCCCGGCATCATACCTATCTATCTATCCACCCATCCACCACCACACCAAACACCATCCAACCTTTTCTCTTTCTCCCCCTCCCCTCCTCCCTCCTCCCCCCAAAATGCCAATAACCACAGTCCAACGCCTAGACGCCCCCTCCAGCTATTTCGAAAAGCGCGAAGTAAACCTCTTCCCTCCCTCCCCCCCACCCCCGAAACTCATTAACACACCACCCAGCGCCGCCGCAGCACCTCGCCAAAACCCGACCCCCTGAAGGACGCTTCGACCCTGTACGTCGGCAACCTCTCCTTCTATACGACGGAGGAGCAGATCCACGAACTCTTCAGCAAGTGCGGCGAGATCAAGCGATTGGTCATGGGCCTGGACCGCTTCACCAAGACCCCTTGCGGCTTCTGCTTCGTCGAGTACTACACGCACAAGGACACGCTGGACGCCATGAAGTACATTGGCGGCACGAAGCTGGATGAGAGGATTATTCGCACGGATTTGGATCCTGGGTTCAAGGAGGGGAGGCAGTATGGTAGGGGGCCCACCGGTGGGCAGGTCAGGGATTATTATAGGGACGATTACGATCCTGGGAGGGGGGGGCCTGGGGGCAGGGAGCAGAGGCCTGTTGCCAAAGGGTAGCATTTGCGCCCGGGCCGGAAAAATCGATTCCCTGTATCTGACTGACCCTTTTTTCCCTTCTTTTCTTTTCTCTTCTCTTTCTTCTTTTCTTTCATAAAACCCAGCTTAGTTGTCGCATGGGCTCTTGTTAGGGGTTTGTTTTGTTGTTTTCTTAAAAAAAAGATAATTAATTTTACGGGCTTAAGCTTGTGGGTAGCTCCTTTCACAAAATGCTCAAACGATTAGCTAGTAGGTGGGGCTTTGTTAGATATTTCAAGGCCCTCATTCGAGCTACCTACTGTAATCCCGATCGCCGGAAGTCCCCCCCCCCAGCATGAGAAAAGGTTACCCAGGGTCCTTCTTCCTGATGATATGATGTTCCCCTCGATTTCCATGCAAGCTTAATTATATGTATGATATTTGGTCTAACGAAGCTAACCTTGTATCTTGTTTACTGAATTGCGAAGCGAGACGTCTAGCCCAATGAGATAATACAGGCTAAACAATTGGCGACGAGTGATGATCTATGCAACTGGGGTGACCCGACATGATACCGGTATTGTAAAGTGGAAACAATCACTATCTACAGGAGAAGCGAAAAATAGACCAAGAATCGTCACGGCACCCAGAACTTTTTGTCATCTAGCTACTTGGAGAGGAGAGAAGGCTAGACGAGAAATACGGCAGCAATAGAAGAAAAAATAAAGGAAGGAGTCCCGTCATTTATGTGTATAACCCCCAGAAACTAACCGTGAGACCATAGAACCAACCAAGCCAACTAAACAAAGGAAAACCAATAGAACAGAGTAACATGCCTCCAAGTTATCTATCTATCTACCTTACCAAAAGGTTTAACCTCTCCCTTGACCTTAATCCCCTGCAGCTCCAACGAAAAGATATCATTATTCCCCAGACTCCACGCCTCCAACATTTTATTGGACTCAACAGGTTTGATAGAGGAATTTGCAGTGCCGATGGTAATGTGCGGAGCCTCATTAGCACACTCCCACTCATCTGGCAACAGGACCCTCACTGCCATCACCCGCCCGTCCCAGGCCATTGAGTGGAGCTCTACATCGCCCCTCCCGAGGATGGTAGATAGTTCTCCGCCCTTGGACTGGAGGAGGTCCATGTACTTCTTCCAAATCTCGGGCTGTTTTGCCTGGCTGGATGTGTGGCAAAGGGTGACATGGAAGGTTTTTTGGACCCTATCGTTCGCATTGAGCTCTCTCCAGAATCCGCGGATGCGCTCGGGTTGAGCTTCAAATGCCGAGTTGACCGCTGCGTATACTTCTTGGGTTGGGACAAGGATGCCAAAGTAGTCGATTCGCTTGCGCTTAGGATTACGCACAGACTGCTTCCCTTCCTGCTTTGGAGCCTCCCCTGGTCCTGTGGCGGAGGGGGTCTCCCCGGGGGAAACTGCACTTTTCGCTTCGCCCCTTGGTTGGGAGAATCGAGGGGTATTATGGGAAGCGGTGTGACGTGAAGGTGCGTAGTTGAGCGCAGCCGAGATGGCTCTGTCGTAATCCTCTGGTGTTGGAAGTTCAGGGATCAGGTTGGGGTAATGTCTCTTGAGCCCGGTGACCACTACCTCCAAGTTTTCCCTCGAGTCTGCTTGGGGGTTCAATTCTATAGTAGCGTTGAAATCGGAGTCAGGGAGGCGTCTGGGGTCAAGGCCCTGGAACCTTTGGAGGAAACCCTTCATGATACCTTCGACTGATCGCCTGGATTGGGTCGATGCTCGGATAGTCTGATGATTATCGCCACGACCAAATACTCGGGCTGCTGTAGTATTCTCGATCTCGCCCATTAGATCCTCTGGGTGCGCGTAGTAGATTGCCACAAAAGTGGCTTTGTAATTTAGTTTCGATACATCCTTGATGAGCTGCTCTCGTTCGCGGAATTGGTGGTTATTCCGGTCAGCAAAGACGACCGGGTGTTTTCTCAAGGCGTTAGAGATAGCAGTTGCAAACGCCCGCCCCTTTCCCGTTTTCCCCGTAATGTTGTCATTTTGGACATGACCCCAGCCGAATAACTCATGAAGTGCCTGCGCAACGGTGGTTTTACCGCAGCCGAGTGTAGCAATAGAGGCCAGAACCACATTGTCCTTTTGGGTGTTCCCTCCGTCTGCACCTTCACTCTCTGTATCTTCTCCCACCTCTTCTCTAATGATATCACTGCCTTTCTGCCCCCTGTGTTCCAAAAAGGCATTCCTCAGTTTGATAATACCGTGATTTTCTTCGTATTTCTCTTTTGCTTCGGGGTGCTCCCTGAAATACTTTTCAGCAAACTTTAGGTATTCGGTGGTTATAGCCTTGTGTTTTTTAATTTTAGGTTTCTCGCCACCGATCATTGACTTGGTGCATTCGCGCCAGAGACGGTACATAAGATATGGTTCCTCAAACTTGTATTTAAAGAACCAATCGTGCCATTCCCCATCGGGCCCATCGCGGGCCTTACACCGGATAACAAAACCCTCAACGTCCTTGCCATCCCACGACCCAGTCTCGGCGGTCTCCTCGAGAAAGTCCCGAAGGCTCTGGACATCTGGCTTATCAAGCGAGTCTACCACCTTGAAACCCCAATCTCGTGCAAACCTTTTCACATCTGCCGCAGAGTAAGTTGCGAACTTTGGAAGTCTAAGATTCACACCGTGAAGATATAACCCTGCCCGGTCATCTTCGTATGGGAGAATATGTTCCTCGAAGGTGTCATCGCAAAGCTCGGCCACAGCAGTAACGTTCGCCTCCCTTAAGGCCCTAGCAAACTCGGCTCTAGACTTTCCGAGCTTCTCCAGCTGCCGATCCACCCACTTCTCCCCAAAAACGGCGTGAGACTTGTCCGGATCAAGCCCAGGTCCCAGTGAGTGTTTGCTACAAACCAGCAATGTATCGTCTGGCAATCCCGAGATGAAAATAATGCATCCATTCTCCTTAACAGTCAATTCGTACGGGGCGTTCGTATTCTCTTCAATCCAGGTCCACTTTGTCTTGTCAACCTCGTTGATATTGAAGAACTTGTCGTAGCCCCTGCTGGCGATTTCCCAATCCCCCGTGGTGGGATTTTTACAGGTGAATAGACCTCTGGCAGAGGTAGGCAGAACCTTCTTCTTGTACTCATGGTCCAGGAACTTCCAGGAGTCAACGGGTATAGGGGAGCCTTCGACTTGGTAGGTTTTCTTTTTGCAGAAAAATCGGGCACTACCCTTCTTCCCTGCTTGGGTACGGTTGAGGAGCTCCATTAATCCATTGATCTCATCTGGATCTTGAGGTTTGAAGGGGGTAGAGTAGTTGGCCATGGGGTTCGTAGATATCGAGAACCGGCGGTGGTTGGTGACTGAATTGAGGATTGGGTTTGAATGGAAAAGAGTGAATGGCGAGGTATGCAATGTGCCTCTAGTGATCAGCCGAGAAGAGAGGTAAGAATGTTTGTAGGGAGAATGTTTGGGATAGAAGCTTGAGAGGGGAGGGGGAGGATGTGAGGAGGATGAAGAGACTTTTCGTTGAAGGTTTACGTTTTGGATGTGACCTGCGGGGATAATAAAGCGGGATGCACCCCACCTGACATTCTTTGATAAGAAAGATGGAAACGCCGTCGGCACAATCCCTCTACTCAGCATATTGTGACTGTAAGGGACAGGCCTTAACGCATGAACTTATATGTGGGGGTATGGCCTTTGTAAATTGATGAATTTCGGGGGTTCAGCAGCGTCTTAGCTGACGACCCTTGTGGATGGGATGGTCTCGCCTGTCACGGCTCGGGGGACAGCGGTACAAGTATCATAACTTGTGCGGTAACACTTGACCCTGGCTCTTACCATACAACCCCGGCATCAATAAGGGTACAAGCATAATACGACCTCGTTGCAGACAGAATACCGGTACTGGTAGGCTATCGGTGTCATACCTGTAGGGACTTCATCTCGAGTGCTACCGTATTATATGACGGATATACAAAGTGCAAAGGCTACCGGTACTGCAGTAAGAGTGCAGTACTGGTATAGTACAGTACTGTACTGTACCGGTGCTGTACTTGTACCACCAGCAGTAAGGGCACACAGAAAACTGCACATTCCGAGTCACGGCACAAGCTTTGGAGGGAAAGAGATTTTATCATCTCATACTGTCATCCACCGATACGGGTATAGGTATAGTACGAGTAGAGTACTACAACTATGATAGTATTCCAAAAGTCCCAATCAAAGTCCCGCTTCCATTGAACACGCTTGCCTGTGACAAAATTTGGGGCAGGCAGGCAAACAAAAGGCGCTGCCAGTCATATGATCCGCGCAGCCAAGCTTTTTAGAGCCTCAAGTGCAACCGAGCACCCAAACCAACCTCCCTATCAGACACAAACCCATCGCAAATAATGATCCTTCAAAAGCTTTCATCTCGAGCCCCCATTCTCCTCCTCCCACTCCTACACCCCCCGCGAATACCGGTACGCCCAATACGAGCAATAGCTCTCACAGCCACCAACTTTGGTAAACCAATGCCACCAAGACCATCTGTGAAAGAGGAGGAGATTGAAGAGTCATTCCTGAAAGGAAGGTGCGTCCCCCCCTTTCCGCAAAGTCGTTGTGCGAGGGCCTTAACTTAACGGTGTGTGCTGTTACCACCATGACCAACAATAGCGGTCCAGGAGGTCAAAAAAGTGAGTCACAATATCCCCTTCACTGCATGCTACTTCGGACGGTACCGTATTATCTGAAACCCGCACGGACAATCTACTACTTATGCGGGCGAGCATGTAACGCCCGGTAACATATCGGCAGTTGTAAGCGTTCCTCTGCCCCCATCCGATCCCAACCTGCACCACATTACTTGTACTAGTACATTCATTACATTGCGAGAAGAATACCAACAAGAAACCAAAACAGAACAAAACTTCTTCCGCCGTCCAACTAAAGCACCTCCCAACAGGGATAGTGGTAAAATCCCAAGCCACCCGCTCACGTTCTCAGAACCGCAAGATCGCGCGTAAGATATTGGCTGAGAAGCTGGAGTTTATGGAGCGTGGGACGGAGAGCCGGGTTGGTGCGTTGGCGGAGAGGGATCGGAGAAGGAAGGCTAGTAAGACTAAGAAGGCCAAGAGGAAGTGCGTTTCTCCTGCTTTTCTGCGTTTGCTTTGCCTTCAGGCGGCCGTGGGGGGAATGATCGATTGCAGTAGAGTATTGATGAACGGGTTAGGTATGCCAAGTTAGAGGCCGATAAGGGAGCTAGCGATGGTGAGGGGGAGGCCGGAAGCGGGGAGGAGGGTCACATTGAGGGTGGGGAGGGAGAATCGGCAGACGAGCAAGTTGATCGTGCTGTTGGGCCCAAACTCGGGACGTCGGAGCCGAGGTCAGCATCGGCAATCGAAGAGGGGACCGCTACTATACCAATACCAGTCAATGACGGCCTTAAATGGTAGCAAGCCACCCAACTCCGCTAAGGGCACCAACTACAGGTATTAGATGCGCACCGCACGCACAGCTCGTTATGCGCTGTCTGTGGTAGCAGGGACGAGCCTAGGTCTTTGAACATCGTCCAACTTGTCTGATACCCAACATCATAGGCCGGCATATCTCATCCATAACCACTAGCACTGTACAAACATATAAGTCCGATAACACTAATGCTTGCGAATAAAAGTAATTGAGATCCTAATCCCCCTCCCAAGCATCGAAATCCGCTGCTCCCCATCGCCCGCCGCAGCGGCTGCGCCGAGTGATAATCCATGAAACACCAATCACATACCGAATCCAATAGAAAAAAAACGGTAAAGGTCTCATATGCCATTAATGTTTTCAAAAATCCCCTCAAATGCCACAGTACCCTCAGATGCCACAGAATTTGATTATGTAAGTTTTTTGATAATTAATTTTAAAATTTTGATTAAAAGAAATTTTTTTGTATAGTAGAAAATTCAGAGAAAGAAAAGTCTAAGTACATACATCAGAGAGAATTACACTATGAAAAAGAGATTTACTAGTCATGCAAGCAGTGACAAGTAGGGAGAAGTACAGAGAGTACAGAGCAAGAAGCAAAGAGCTGAGAGAGATGAGTGGAGGGTACAGAGTGAGGAGCGAAGAGCGAAGTGAGAAGATAATAGAGCAAAGGATGGAGAGTGAGGAATTCTAGAGTACTGTAAAATCTCTAGAAATCTACTATCTCCAGTCTGTCACAAATATCCCTATAACTGGTAACTTCCACCTAAGATAGATTTTAATTATAAAGTTAATAAGATCTAACATAGACAAGTAACTCAGGCTATACTGTGTCAGGAAAACACTAATTCTTTTTAAGAACTTTTGACTTAGAATACAAAGAGTAGGGGCTATCAAAGATGGTAGATTGCAAGAGATTTTATGGTAGGAGGAAGAGTGAGAAAGGAGGGGGGAGGTAGATTGGCTGAGAAGGGGGAGTAGCAGAAGGGGAGAAAGTGTGGGGAAAAAAAGTTGAGTTAGAGAGAAAAAAGAATGGTAAGATAGAAAATACCTGTTCCTGTATAATAGGAATTCTCCTTTACCAGTGCCAAGACTAAGTAAATAATTTATATTGAGAAACCTAATTTGTATTTAATTTACATAGAAGCAAAACTTACATAATATATTCCTGTGGCATTTGAGGGTACTGTGGCATTTGAGGGTACTGTGGCATTTGAGGGGATTTTTGAAAACATTAATGGCATATGAGACCTTTACCTTAAAAAAAAGAAACCAGGCCTTCGACACACGTGCAGAATTCAGGCCCACCACCACAAACACAACCATTTCCCCCGTATTACCACTCCAACTCCCCCACCCCTTCCAAAACGCCCAACACGCCTCTAACATTCTCCCTCTCCCAAGTGAACGCAGCGCCCTGCCTCCTGCGCGAATAATAGACCGCACAGTCCTGCGACGTGCACGCCACCTCCTCTCCCGGAGAGCTGCCCTCGCACGACCTACACACGGTCTGCAAGTCCAGCACCCGCTTCTCAGCGCGCGCAAGTTGTGTGCGCACGTGAATGATGGAGGCGTCACGGTTTTGAGTGCAGTCTTTGCATATATCTTTAAAGAAGAAGAAAAAAGAAAAAAAAAATCAAGTTAGCAATGGGAAGGTGGAATGAAGAGGAGAAAGGAAGGAGGTAGGTAGGGAAGTAGGTAGAAGTAGGTAGGTACTGACTGTTCTTGGTTCTGGAAGTTTTGCACCCGCATACGGCGCAAATATTCGAGGACTTGGTCATGTATGATTCTATTATGGCTCTGGATTTCTCCTTCTGGGCGCCGGTTCCTCCACTGGTGGCGGCAGCAGAGTCATTGTATTTTATCAACTTCCTTAAATGCTTGTACTTTGGCATCTCGTCGTACCATTGCCTCACGTTCGCGCCGACAAGGTTGAAGATGCGCTCCAGGGGTGGGATTATGTTTTTGCAGATGTAGTATTCTGAATCTAGGCTTAGTTCTGGCGACGCTAGGAGGTCGTTGACTTCGATTGTGCGGTCTGCTAGGGTTTGACCGGGGGAACCGGCTATTACTACGTAGCTTTTTGAATGATACGTGTTAATGTTGGGTCTAAGGGGGAGGGGGAGGGGAAACTTACGGGATACGTTCGGCGTATTGAGGAGCGTTTTCGGGATCTTTTTCTACCCGCTTTGCGGCTAGTTGTGCGCCAGGGGGGAGGGATACTCCTTCGCTGTTTATAATCATTAGAATTCCAAGCCTCGTTATTGTTTTTATATATATAAGTGTGAACATACGCATAAGTCCCCAACCTGACAGCCTTCGCGAAGCAAAAGTGCTGAATGGACACCTTCTCCCTCATAATCTTCGTCCACTCCCTCTGACAATAAGCCTTAACCTGCGACAAGTCCTTTGTTCTGAACAAAATCTTGAGCGCAGCTTCTTCGATCATCTGCTCAGCGGGAGTCCCATCCCTCCTGACCGTCTCGATCCCCTTCGCGTCGAAGTCGGGCTCCGCCTGCTCGCGATACTCATACTTGAACCCCACATAGCGCTTCTTTGCCAACAGCACGCACGGGAGGTAGACCTTTTCGAACTTGAGCTTGATGGGCCGGGGGTTTGCCTCCGTCACTCTCGCCGCGATTTCTTCCCCGATCCGGAAGGCTTCGTCTTTTGTGCGGCCCTCCAGGTGGATGAAGAGGCTGTCTGTGTCGCCATAGACTACTTCTGCGTCCCAATTGGGATCGTCCTGTATCAGGCGGATGGCTTTTTCCAAGATCTCGCGCCCTGTCTGGACGATGCTATCGGCGATCTCGGTGCACGGCATGCGGCCCGAGTGGGAGGCCGAGGTGTACCCGTATGTCACGTTCGCGATGAGCTTCAGCGCGAGTTGGCGGCTGTTCAGCAGCTTCTGGAGGGCTTTGTCGTGCTTGTCGCGCTTCATGCCGTTCTTCACCATCACGCGGGTGTCAAGGATTTCCGTCAGCATTTTCGCCAGGAGGGATTTGCGGATGGTTTGTTTGATGTACATCATTCCGTTTGGGGCGACTGGTGATTTGGTAGATATTAGCTTTGAGCTGGAGAGGGGATGCAAGAGGAGGTAAGGCCTACTATTGATATCCTTCTCGCAGAGTTCTAGAAGTCGGGGAGGGCGGTGGAGGTGTGTGAAGCCCATCTTATTCTCGCTGCGCCAGGGCGTCATTCTACCTAGGAATGTAGAATAGCAATAGTTGTGCGCAATCATCACGGACGGATATAAAGATTGGAAATCCAGAACAACCACTGGACTGGTATAGAACCTCGAGAAAGGTTCCATGACCAGAGGTAGGCATTCAAGTGCGTTTTGTTGCCCGACCTAAAAGCCGTTCAGTGTACTTGATAACTTCAAATGCCCAATCGCAATTACCTGTGCCTTACTTGGCGAAACCAGTATGAACGACTCCGGTTTCGCTATTCGGAACATCATAGATTCAACCTTAAATTGCGAACCGCGTCCAGAGACAGACGCAAAGTCAATGCCCAGAAGGCGTGCTTGCTCGCTAGTCGCAAGTCAGCTACCCACAATCCAATGATTCACTCCAATCTCACCTCGTCCGCGTAATAAGCTCCTGCCGGTCCAGGATCTCCAAATCCAACTGCACCTTTCTCACTAAATGCTTAATGACCTTCCCAAACAATAGCGGTGATCCACTAGTATACCATCCAGTCAATACTCTGAATGAGTAATGTGGTATCCTACAATTTTGTTAGCTGTTGTGAGACATGGCGGATGCTTCACGGAATATCACTGACCTCTGGTGCAATAAGTGAAATACAACATTTTCCATGGAATAGCCCAACAAGTTAAGCTCCGCGGTCATAGCTCGCCATATGTTTACCATGTGCCTTCCGGTAATCCTGATGGCAGACCCAGTATTGAACCCCCAGAGATTGGATTCTTTTCCGAATCTACTATGCGTTTCGATCTTAACCCGGGAGAGGTCGTCGCAGAGGTTCATTTCTGGTTCGAATTAGAAGAACTTTTTCTATGATGGAGAAGTGATCTTGGAACTTACCGAAGAGTTGATTGGCACGCTTGATAAGGTAGCCCCAGGAACTGGAGTTGACCTCCCATCCTGTGAGAATATCTGGATCGAGGACTCGCACAGTATCGATTAGTGTGTTTATCATGCCAAGTTCCGAGGTCTCGGTCCGGATTTCGGCCCTGCACTGGCGGCGGAATTTCAGGCCAGGGTTGGGATCATTATTGTGTTCATCGACTAAGGTGATAATGCCAATGCGAGTTCTGAGCATGTCAGCAATTGTACAAGTATCAGGAAAGAACGTCTATATGACGATACGAACACTTCCTTAACCTCACCATCCTCACCCTCTTCCATTTCCTTCAGAGACCAGAAAATACACTCGATCTGGTCCCGCTCCGCATTAGGAACAAAGTCTCCCACAGTGTTGACTATACCACAAGCATCAGACTCAATTCTTTGGATCACAGATACCAAAGCACTCACTATGAAGCTCCAAACTCATAATACTCATATGCTGTAACTCATGCTGCACATTATCTGACTTTGCATTCTGAGAAAACTTGAAACCATATTTATTTTTCTGCGTGGGACCTTGAATCTATAATTGACACCAAAACAAAAGTATCTCAGCATTGCCCTCCTCCCAATAACACTAGCAAGTTGCACACAAACCTGAGACGCAAAAAAGCTATTGTGTTCATATGCGACACTCTGCCTCGCACCCTTCCCCTTCCTCACTATCTTTCGCTCTTCTAGCAATTTTGCTACTTCCTTCCTACTTGGGGGTGCCTCCGCTATATTCCACATCTTGAACCTAGGATCCCGCTGATTGAGTCTGTTGTATTCCCAGACAATCCGGTTTTCATTGTTGGGGTTAAAAATGGGAAGATCTGACAGCTTGCTTGATTTGAACTTGAATTCACGCCCGGCATATTCCCAGACCTTTGTCGGGACGTCTCTGTCGTCGCTGTAGTATGGTTCTTGATAGGCTACTTTAGCTATTTCTTCCTTGTCTTCGGAGGTTAGCAGTTCAGATGATGATGGAGCGCGTTGACTATAACATCTTATTGAGCTATTCGAGGGGATGTCGAAGGCACCGCGCAGTGAGGAGGTTGGGTCTAGTCGGGTTGCTGGTGATAATTTAGCACAATGGTTCATGCCGAGACAGGAATTTCAATGATACTTACGAAGATTAGATAAATCAACAGCTACTTTACCTCGACGACCAATCTTCTCTGGCCTAGGCGTATCATTGGCCCTACTAGAAGAGGGCTGAGCCCTTTTGCGGCTTTTTTGCAGCGGTTCGGATATTGAAGCTCGAGTTTTCGAGTTTTCCGAAACCGAGTCTACAAAGCGGCACCCAGGCTGTGCGGAGGAAGGGTGGCCGTTGGAAAGCGCAGGAGACTTCCCGTTAGGTATATCCCTCCTAACCGAGGCAGAAGTGGAACAGATTTTTTCAGGTACGTCAGAGCAATCAGAAGACGGTGGCATTTGACTTTCGATATTTGAAGAAAAGGACTCCATCTTCACTCGTTTTGAAGGAACTTGGTATGAAGTTGGTACATCTGGATCAACAGAGCTTGTCGGAAACCAGACCCTGCTATCAGTAACGACTATATCGTCTTCCTCTTCAATGAATTCTTCAACTAGTCCTTCATAGAATGAACCACCCGCGATAGTTAATTGTGAATTGTTAGACAAGCTCTTTTCAACTCGGCCCTCCCCATTTGAGGCTTCTGGCATTGGCGGCGACGATGATATCTTTAGCTCGCGCCCCTGCAGCTCCCATACCAAGCCCCTTTTCACTTGTTCATGACTCTTCTCAGCTTTAACTTTAGCGCTCTGCTCGCCCCCTGGATCATCCATTACATCAAAGAGACCTTCAAAATCACTATCGCTGAACTCTCCCTCACCGATATCGTAAACGAGACTCTCGTCAACTTCAGCAATTTCAGCTTCTACAACAAGCTCAACTTTCTTGTCCGGGGGCAGGCCTGCTCCCTCAAACGATTCTGCTACACTCTCGAAAGCAGTTGGCCAAAGGTTTTCGAATTGTGCGCGAGATACATAAGTTTCGAATTTGAGAGTGCGGCCGTCACTAACCCGCCTCTCAGTCTTGATTATGTCTTTTATCCTCTCTCGATACTCTTCCTCATGAATCCAAGTTCCGGAAGGCCCACGCTGGTCGGAGGATGAAGATACCAGACCCTCCGCGGGGTTACTATTATTACCTCTTCGCCGATTCTCATCTTTCCATAGCTCTGCCATGCTATGAACGAGTTTTATATCAGGCGATATAGGATTTGTGCGTTCAACGAAGTCGAAATGAAGTGGCCGCGCCGAAACTTGCTTTCTATTGAATATGTCCCGAACGTGAATATCGACCTCCAAAGTACAATAAGATTGCCGCTGGAACTGGCTCTCGGGCAGAATAGATACCTCCGGTATTGACTTATTATGCCAGATATGTTGCTCCCCTATTTCATCCGCATCCGGTATTTCCCCTCTGAAGAGGACCTTGTCGCACTCGATGAATCCACACCCATTTAGATTGAAATCAATCATAAATTGCGGTATGTACTGAATGTGAGCCTCATGTGGCTGGAAAACCCTACTCAAAACACCTCCGCTCTGTAGAATCCTCGCAAGCCGACCCCTCATATGCGGGTTGAATAGGTATATCTTGCAATAGAACTTCCATCCAACATGGAAACCATAGAATGGGACACCTTTGACAAGTGATATATGAGCAACAAAGCGAGGTGGCTTCTCTTGTGATCGGATAGAACGGCCAGCGGATAGCCCCATAGCCCGGTCTATGCCCCGCCGAAAACGTGTGAGGAAATTATGGACTGGGATGGCAAGGTTAGTTTCAGTAAGCTCTTCAGCAGTCAGGTTGTAGCGTAAATTCTTACCGTCTTCTGGCATCAAGCTTTTCCCAGGATATTCAACATAGAGATATGGGAAAGCCCCATGAATATGCGCACATACTTTCTGACCAGTCTCAGTGGCTCCAAAGACCCGGACTATCGGAATCTTCGGCGGACGCTCATCATCAGGGATATGAGGGAACGTAGGGTCAAGAGAGGTTGGATAGGCTTGATACGAATCAATATTATTCAAACGTATACGAAAAGCCATCCTAAGACAGCAAAAGGTCACCACCGATAAATGGCGAAGCTGTTGACCTAGTAGGTGAAATAGCGAGGTAGTGTTAAGGATTAACCATCCTAAGGCTTGTGAAGTGTCGAACAAAGAGTCAGACGCGTCTGGGGTTCTGGGAGACGCGTTTTGCTAGGGTCAGGGTTTACTTCAATCATTAAAACCCGTAGCGGTTAAATTGTTATATCATACCGGTACGAGTACAGTACGTACTGGTACAATACTCAAGATACCGGTATACAAGTACCGGTAAGTACAAGTACTCGTAGGCTATGTGCTTGCATAGACAGGGATTACCTTGCCGGTTAACCTAAATTAACTGTTCATTAACTTTCAGTCTGGCACTTGTGACCCACTATGATATTTCAACTAGTCTTGTAATCCAAGTCAACAGTTTGGAAGCGGGATAAGGGTTTTTCCGATCCAGTAAAGGGGTACAAATTGGGCCCCCTTGATGTTTTAGTTTTTATCATTGGGGTACAAAATTTTTCCCAATTTTTCAACCTTTTTGGGGTTTATTTGCCCAATAGTGGGCCAAGGGACGGGGGAAATTTTTTGGTCCGGTATTGGTCCAGGGGTACAGGGGTTTTTGGGGGGCAGTAACCCAAGTTTTCATTTTTAATATTTTCCCATTTTCGGCACCCCCCCCCCCCCCCCGGTCACAATACCCCTATTGCTATGCTTGGTCAGTGAAAAGTAAACTGTGATAAACAACACGTCCCATTCCGCTGAAGTTCCACAACTCCAATACGGTATCATGCAACACCATGAAGCAAACTGGCACTCGTGAGCAAAATCCACAAGGAGTTCGACATCGTGAAACAACACGTGATGAGCGCAACAAGGTCATTACTCTCTGTGATCATGCAGGGTAGAATTGGTCGAGAATTGGGCAAGAATTAAACATTGACCGAAGAACCTGCTATCGAGTAAGTGAGATTTCTATTTTTAATTAAAGGCACCAGTAGTTCAAGTTTGTTAATTTTAGATATAAAGATATATAAACGTGCTAAGGAGGATAACACACCTTCAAACCGTCGACGTTCTGGCTGGCCTCCCATTTTTGATGATGCTGAGAAGCAGCGATTAGAGGCATTTGTGACACAAAATGCTAGGAAACGACACCATATCTGGGAGGGGATATGTGAGAAGATGGGTTACGCTTGCAGTCCCAATACTGTAAAGCGCGTTATAGAGTCCATAGGCTATCACCGTCGTGTGCCTTGGCACAAATTTGCAATCCGGCCAGCAAACAAACCACTCCGTGTCGCTTGGTGTCGTGAATATCTCGACTGGACATATGAGGATTGGTCCCGCGTTGTGTAGACCGATGAGTCCACATTTTCAACTGCAGGGTTTGGTAATCGGCCATGGGTAACAAGAAAGGCCACGGAAGAATACCATGTCGACTGTGTTGACGAAACCTTCGAGTCCGGACGCCAAACCAAGATGGTTTGGGGGGGGGTTCTGTGGGACTTTAAAGTCCAAGCTTGTTTTTGTTCCATGTAAGGCAAAGGTAGACTCTGCCTTTTATGTAACAAAAATAATGTATCCCTACCTGGTCCCTTTTTGGCACTGCTGCTGTGAAGAATATGGTTGGGTTACGGTAGTTGAGGATGGGGTACCTGGACATAAAGGTTACTCTATCCAATATCGTAACCTTAACGAGATGGAAACAACTCGTTGGCCTGCTCAATCACCAGACCTAAACCTAATTGAAAACTTATGGTTAGATATGGAAAATGAGCTTAGAGAAACATGGGGAAGAATGGGTGATATTGCAACTCTTGAAGCTGCTTTAACGGCTGTCTAGAATGCTATCCCAAAGGAAAGACTTGAAAGTCTTATTAGGAGTATGCCGGAATGACTGCAAGCTGTTCTTGACACGGAGGGGGGGGCTACAAAATACTAGAGCAGCGTTCTGTATATAGTATGATACCGGATTCAATTTCTCTTATTTATAATAGTAATCACTAGATATCACTCGCTATAACTAAATTGTCTTAGTATATATTTAATTCCTGCACCTATATTAAGAGGTGCACACAACTTTTGCTGTCACCAAAAAAACTCACCAGCTATCACTCAAACTTCCAGATCTGGTTTAGCCCACATACAGATACAGTAGTAGTGGGCGCAACTTTTGCCTACCCCCTAGTACAGAACAGGGATTAACTTGGGTTTTTTACTTGAATTAACTATTTGGTAACTTTCGAGGGGTACTAGGGGTAGGCATATAGCGATCGAATGGGCTGAGAATAGCCGAAGCAGTAATGTTGAAAACAGATAAAAAGAGTGAACATGAGTGAGTACTAGCCAATGTAGTAGGTATGATGTGTGGAGCAATTCATGCAACCTGAATTTTAGGGAACATTGCAAGTGTCACGAACGTGGCTTAGCAAGGAAAAGGTTTTCACATAACTCATGATTATGAGTCATTGGTATGTTATTATTTTGCGCATATGACTCGTTTGAGTCATATGACTTATTATGTTACGATTTATAATGTCTTGTAAATGACTCAATTATGAGTTATGGGAGGTGCGCCTGGCAAGTATGCCTTGCAAGTATACCTTACAGGTATGCCTTGTGGGTATGCCTTGCAGGTATGCCTTGCACATATAATTTATGTTTCGCACATGACCTCATTATGAGATCATAGGTTTCATGCATGTGACCACTTGGGGTCATATAACTTGTTCATTGTGTTAAGATTGGTTTATGAGTTTTCGCACATGACCTTGCTACGAGGTGATGGGATTTGAGCATGTGACCATTTTGGTTTTAAAACGAGTTTGTTATGATTTGGTTTCTCGCATTTGACCACTTTGGGTCACATGACTTGGGGCAAGAAGAGCACTATATAAGGAGGCTAGTATGGCCAAGGAGGATAGGCTCTTTGAGCTTTATGCTAAGTACTTTCCTTGTCCTTACCTTATCTCCGACTTAGTAGCATTTCTTTCATGCCCACGATGGTCTTCTTCATCTTGCGTTCTGTGGGAGATATTGGAGTTTGCTCAGTAGTTCCTGAAGTTCTTGATATTGAGTGTATTAGTATTAGTGGTTATGTTGCGGATTACTTGTTTGTACTGTTTCGTTACTTGCTAGTTATCTCATGATGCTGGCACTTTGAACTCTTTATCATGGTCACTTATAGGCTCCTTTTGGTAAAATGGCTATAGTTTCCTGTCTATCGTCTACTCATAGGTTTTGCATTCGATAACCGGGATTGAATATTGTATTTGGGGAATCACCTGTGTCATTCTTCGGGTCAGCTCATATTTGTTGGGTTTTAACGGAGTCATTAGTTCTTACGATTCAAAACACCCTGGGGATAGACTGATGACTTTCCCAAGTCTCAACATGTCATACTGGTTGCATCATTGCTCCAGTGATGGGACCTTACCAACCCTGCCGTCCCTCGTTGCTTTATGTTTCTATGGTTGAAATCCTATGATGTTGTTTATTATTGTTCTCTTGGAGTTTTTGTCTTTGTGGCATTTACGGTGGTTCAGTCAGGTATCTCCTCCTCATTTTGGTAGGGATGGCTTTGACACTGTGTTAAGTGGAGACAATCTGGTAGACTTCAGAATTGTCTAGGCCAATGAAGATTCGTTTCTGTAGTCGGAGATTGTCTAGAAAGGCTCAAATTCACTCGTTTCGTTTATGACTACTAAGAGAGAAGTCAATTTGGTAAAGTAAGATAGAATTGTACAAACAATATTATATGATTAAGGTCTCTTCTCTGTTGCTTGATGATATCTAAAGCTTGGGAGGTACTTGGATATTTATATTCTACATTTAAGTGTTTGCGGACTACATATATTTATGATACAACTATGTACTTCTTGGACTATAACTTGCAATGTTGGGTATTCTTAAAAGGTGCGAACACCTGGAGACCCTGAAAATCATCATACCCTTTTTGGTAATTACGATATAACTAACTCGGAACTATACTGTTCCCAATCCTAGTTATCCAATCTTTAGAGTATTTAGACTTATAGCCTAGTTCTCAAGTCAAACAGAGTTAGCCACAATTGTCTCTGTCATTGATGAAATGATTAATTTTATCTACAGATTGTATCTGTAAGGGTAGTCGTAATCACAAACTTTTTTTTCAGGTTGTTTGACTTTAAATCTCCATAACTCTTTATCCAACCAATAGATATTTTCCAGGAGACTTCCTACTAATTCGCAGAAAGCTATTCCACCAGATTGATAAATAATCTCTCGGTCGACAACCTTTGGTTGCTCTGCGTAACTGGATTTCAATTACTGTTGTAGTATTGGAAGTTATCCTTGTAGCTATAATGTGTTCTGAAACCTTGTTGCAACACTTTTTTGAAATCCAATGGCTTCTATAGTAGTGTTCATCAGAGTTCTAGACTCTTCCAGATATTGGAGGGTGGATGTGAATGTATTGGTCTCTTGCTGAGATTCTTTACCATTCAATACTATTTCTTTGTACGAAAAGGTCCTGTCACCTACATCCTATACCCAAGGTATTACATCTTTGAAGCCTAGTAGCCTTCTGAGTAGTTGATGGGTTTACTCTGTTCCACTTCTCAGACCTAGCTAAAGGTCCCACTTTATACATCTGTAATGATCCCTTCTTGGTTGGTTAGGTCTTGGCGATAGGGAATGATACTTCTCTTTTTCTTCTTCTCCTCTTCTTTGTCTTACAATCGCACTAGGCCTTTGCCTACGTTACCGATAGTACAAGACCTCTATCTTCTATCGGGAACGCTTATCGTAAGCTTTCTCTAACTCTTCTTTGTGAAGAACTTTCCTTGGCATAACGATAATGTTGCAATAAAGATAAAGATCGTAACGGTGTTTTATATTCGTTAAAGTAATAAGTAGGAAAAGTACTTAGAACAAAGCGTAAAGAACCTATTCTCCTCGGCCGCAACGGCCTCCTTATATAGTGTTCTTCCCACCTGTAGTTATGTGATCCAAAGTGGTCATATGTGCGA